GAAGAAAAAAACGAAGAAGAAATTCCCCAAAAAACTTTAAGCAAAGTGAGTCAGAAGCATTTATAGCAAGAAATTGAAGCTTCAGCTCAACTAATGCAGATATCAATGGCAATTGAGCCATTTAACTACGACTTAATTTAGTTAACTTTGATCTACAACTTTTGCTAACCAAACAGGCCTAAATTATAACTGAGCATTTAGGGTTCTTCTCACTTGATTATTGTTGTTGTTGTTGCCCGTCTGTCCGTCTTTCTGTCTGTCTGTCTGCAAGTTGTGCTGCGGCTTCTAAACATATGCCACAAATAATTTGTTATTCAATACGAAACACACAAAAAGCACACAAAGCAGCAAACGAGCTCAACACACACGCAGACACACTGGACATTTACTAAATTGGCTAACAACTTTTTGCTAGGCTCCTTCACTTGATTGTTGTCCCTTTGCTGTTGCTATTCCTGTTGTTGTTGTTGTTGTTAACTCCTGTTCACCAGCCTGTCGTGCTGTCGTGTTCTGTGCTGTGTTGTGTTCTACTGTGTGCCATATGCTTGACCACAACCAGAAACCCGGAAACATACAGCAATATAAAAAATAAATAAAGGATTCAACAACATTTGACAATCGTGTTGAGCAAATCGCATTAGCTTTAAGTAAGCATTGACAAATAAATGATAGTCAACTATTATGCACACTATTTAAGAAATAATAATATATTCAAAACAAGTTTAGACACAGCACTAGCTAAAATTTCCGAAAATAGTATATTAAAATAACACAGACGACAATAATACCCACCAGCACAGCAGACGCGTATCGACTAAATGCTCTAACTATGAGCACCTCTTCACGAACCGATGTTCTCATTATCTGTACGACTCGCGCTTTGCATACGCGCTCTCAGATGAACTAAACCAATAGCGCACGAGCAATGGGCAAGCAAATTGCGTATGTGTGTGTGTGCACTCTCTTAAAATTATAGCAGTCTGCATTCCACACATATCCGTCCAACTTATTCATTGTTCGCGCGCTCAAACATGAGGAAATGGTCAGTTTAGTTTCCACTCATCTTTATTTGACACTCATTTACGATACAAATTACGCTCTATGTTTTCTTTGAGCCTATCTGTGGACTCTATGCCTCGCTCCGAGCAACGGTGCACGTGTAATATCGCAATGTTCAGTTTAGTTTAAACTCATCTTTCTATTTCACTCAATCCAAGCTGCACTCGTTCCCTTCTTTGCGCCTATCCGTGGACGTTATGCCTCGTTTCAAGCAACGAAATACACGTGTGTGTGTTATGCATGTGCAATATTTTAAGTGCTCTCCAATTTACTCACTCGTTCTCCTCTGTTATTTACGATCAAAGTTCCGCTCTGTGCCTCTCTGTGGACTCAATATTTTAAAGCCTTGCTCGCTCAAACCAGAGCTATTTAGATCGATGTATGCATATTATACTATACATAGCTTTAGCTGGCCTCTTAAATTGAGGATTTGAGTATTTTTTGGTATCAATTGTAGTTAAGGGACTGCCAACAACTTGGAATCCACATGCAATAATAAATATTTTAGCTAAGCTTTATGTGGGCATAAATTTCTTACGTAATGTCAAGTTGGCTTAGTTTATTAATTCCTTCTGCCTCTTGCTGCTGCCACTTGTCAACGCTGTTACCCTAACGAAATGTATGTGCTCAGACCCTGCCACGCCCTTCAACGCCCACTCAACACATGTTGGCACATTTTTAAATGTATTTGTGTCGAGACGCAGTCGTGACTGCAGTAAATTCCAGCTAACAAAACACCCAAGGACCGGGCCGACCTCCCCCTCCCACCCCAGCAGCAAATGCGCATTTCAACATTTTGCAAGCTAGGCGAGCAGCGCGCAATGCATGTCTGCAATTTTTTAAGTAAATATTTTGTTTGCTTCGAGTTGTCCCAAAAAAAAAAAGAAACCAGAGAAAAGGAAGTGAGCAGCAGGAAGAAGCTGCAGCTGAAGCTGAAGCTGTAGCAAGTGGAAAACTTGAGACAACTGCACAATCCACATCAAAGGAGCAACTCCTTTGCCATTTTGCTTTTATTTCCGTCTCAGTTCTTGTTGTTGACATACGTAGCTGTTGACATTTTGATACAAATCTTCAATAAAATAAAAGCAACTCAAGTACCCGCAACAACAACAACAACAGCTAAAACAAATAGCTAGAAATAAGCTAAACAATAACAAGTGCATCTTTGTTGTTGTTGAGTGAAAAAGGTTGAGAGAATAAGCTGAAAGCTGAAACCATTTCATGTGGAGCATTATCTAAGTACTTGGGGCTAACTTATTGTCAGATATTCGACTTGACGAGGCAGCTATATCTTCTAGTATTTACAGTTTCAGAAACTAACATAAAAGAGCCAATAAATATACACACTTATTTCAAGCCGAATATCTGACAATAAGTTAGCCCCAAGTACTTAGATAATTATTAATTATTAATGTATACGTATATGTATATGGTATACGTATATGTATATGCATATGTACATACACATGTATAAGGAAAGCGAAGAGAACTTACGCGGGTATGCCTAAATATGGGCTGTAAACTGTCACTGAGCTGAGAGGCTGAATACGCATGCATACACACACACACACACACACACACGAGTGTTAAAGCGCTCTCAGTCAGTCATAGAGCGTAGCGTAGATAAATTACATACGAACGAATGAGTGAGAGCGAAAAATGAGTGTATACTAAGCTGAGCACTTCCTTTTATTTGAGCTCGCACACAAGCAATTGATCAGTGTAGAAGTGTGAGCGGGAGAGGCTACACAAATTGTATCTTGTTTGCGAGCTGTGTAGATAATGAGAGCCCAAATATCTTCGTAAAATGCTGTGCTTAGGGGGGGAAGTATGCGCAAGGAGATACTTTATACTCTATGCGCGTCTGCTGTGCTGATCGTCGCGATTTTATGTGCGGTGAATCACACTTTTGTAAAAAGCTATTAAGGAATCGACTCAATTATCTTGTGTCATGTGTGTGTATTAATGCTTGATTAATTTATATATTAGAGATATTGTGTTTTAATATTTATTTTATAATACTGATGAATGCTTAAACAATTGTTCTTTATAGAAGATTCTTCTCATAATTCTGCTCTTCGGCTTCTACATAGAAACCTTTCATATTTAGTTCTACTCAAAAGTTGATTCCTATGCGCATCAAGAGCAACACGAGTTACTTCAGTTAAGAATAAATTGTGTGATATGCAATACTCGACTCCCTGTGGCGAAAGCTGCTAAAATTATTTTACATAACGCATACGTCATGTTGTACACAAGAGAGTGTGTGTGAGAGAGAGAGGGAGTGACAGGGAGATGCAGTTCGCAGTTAATCAAATTCCCAGCAGAAGACAAACAATGAAATAAATGTCTTAAGACAAAAAAGAAGTAAAGAGGAAAACAACAAGACAAACATGCACAGTGCCTGATGGAATGCCAAGCTCTACTTGCTCTCAACGAACTTGACACGATTGTCTAGGGGGAGATGCTATTATTTGTTGCTTGTGTAGCTTTGGGTATGCTGATATATTAAATGTACTGTTTCCACTCCGACTTTGAGCAGGTTACATCAAATCAACACAAACACAAATTCAATTACTCAACAGCAACAGCTACAGCTACACCAGCTGGCTCACACGACGTATGAGCGACATTAATGCAATTTTGCCAAATGTCAATCATTTTTGTTTAGCCCACGCCAAATAAATAAAAAATAATAATATGTTCCAGCATTGTTTTTCGTGTTCAGGTAAGTGGGTCGCCTTTTGATGTCGGCTCTGGCACAATTTACAATTAAATCGATTTCACTTAAATCGACAAATAAATGCAGAAAACGAGCCTATGAAGCTGGATCTGTCCCAAGTGGGGTTGGTTTGAGAAACGTTAGCGACTTTTAGAGTTCATTTTCTTCTATTTATTTTCTTGATTTGTATTCATAGTAATAAATATGCTACTCAAGGTAGAGCTTAATCTTGAGAATATTTTAAATATTTATAAGTATGTACAAATAATGTATATAAAAATTTTCATTATTTAAATACTTTAAATCTTACAAATTTAACATATTAGAATATTTTAAAAACATTTTAATTTATAGTTTTTTTTCGCATTTTTAGATAAGAATTGCATTTAATTATATATATTAATTTTTATATTATTATTTTTCATAATATTTTGATTGCATTTTTGGCTTTTTCTTTTTTAAATGAATGCAATTTTGTCTTGGGTTTATTAAGAATTAAAAAATAATTTTTTTATTTTATGATTTGTCTTCTTTGAATAATTTATATTTTTCTTTTTGTATTTTTGATTTTAATATTAATTTTAATTTTATTTTAATTTATATTTATTATAATTATTATTATTGACTATTTTTATATCACATTTTATTTTAATTTTATCAAAATAAATAAATAAATAATTCAATTATTTACAATTATTTTCATTTATACTTTATTAAATAGTTTTCAGCTTGCAAATTCATTTGAGGGATGCTACGTTTTATCGCCGCTCAAAATTGGAGATTTTAGTATGGAATCGCTTGAGCCTGGCACATAAATTCGTTACCTTTGTTCGGTGCGTGAGCTAATAAATAAATAAAACGTTGGCACACTCATTAAGGCCACAGCGAGCAAAAAAGGAAATAAAACGGAAAATAGTAAAAGAAAAACAAGAGCCGAATCGAACAATGTGTGGGTGTGTGAGCAGTGCCTGTCGGCAGATTAAAAATACAATTTACGGCAAATCAATTGCGGCTAACATGCCGGCGACAGCAAACGAAAATTAAAATGGCCAACAGAGTGAGAGAGGGAGAGAGCAAAGCTACAGACAGACAGAGCGAGAGAGGAGAGTAGAGAAACAACAGCAGCTGAAGCAAAAAATTAAAAGCAAACAAAGTTGCTAACAAGAAAAGAAAAAACCCAAACTGAATCCCAAAAGGCCAAAGTCGCCGCCTCCGCCCACGCCCCCGACCAGGAATGCCAACACACAAAAAAACGAAAGACTGTGAAATGTGAGAGGCCAGGATAACAACAACAGATGTTGGCATAAATTTGTGTGCATAATAAACAATTTACGATTCCGATACTGATTCCGTGTGCGACTGCGACTTCGACTCCAACTGCAACTTCGACTCAGATGGCGACTGCGACTGCGACTGCGACTGAGACTGCGATAGCGACAGCGAATGCTGTGCCATTTTGCATATGCATCGTTACAATGCTTAGAGCTAGCGCCCGCCGCGCTGTGCTGCTGTGCGCTCGGCTTGCAGGTGAAATGAACGCAGGGCACGCAGCCGATCCTCGCGCTTGAGTTGGAAGACGCACGCCCTTCCCCGTACATAGTTGGACAGTTCGCGGGCAAATGCCAGCAGGCAGTCATCGGCCTCGGGCCGCGGCAGCTGCCACAATAGCTGCACCACAAATTCGCGCCACTGCGCGGGCGCCAGTGTGAAGAGGAGCAGTGCCGATGGCAGCAGAGTCAGCATGCCGAGCGTAAAGTAGCCACACCAGCGCCAATTCGGACAGAGCAGCTGGGACAACTGATGGACGAGCCGCTCGTAGCTGCACCAGCCAATCAATATGGCCAGCTCCGAGATGAACACGGTGCCCAGCAGCTCCACGCAGATGTGGATGCGCGGATAGTGGTTCGTGTAGCGCTTGGGCAGCATTTCGCACTTCCACAGCAGCAGCAGCAGGCTCAGGCCGAACAGGCACTTGGCCACCGAGGACGATGGCGCTGGCACGCATTGATCCTGCGACTGGCGTATGAACAGCGATATGCCACACAGCTGCAGCAGCGTGGCTGCCACAATTGAGGGCGGTGAAACCATATCCGTGGAATCTATTGTAAAATCTGTTTATAACCCCACGTCACGTGTTGCGCTCATTTAATTTTGAATTATTTAATATGTTTTCCGAAAACAAAATAAACACATTTCGAATGTGCTATGCCAGAGCTCAACAAATTCAGCGCCTGCTAACAGGGCGTCGCCTCGCACCTGCCTTCACCTGCTTGAAGTGCAAATGTGAAATAAATTAAATGCAAAATGTCGACGTTGTCAGACCATTATTATTGAGGTGAATCTAATCAGGTGTTAGACTACACGCACACACAGAGAAACTCACACACTCACCTGCACACTCAGCTCTCACATTGCTTCAACGCCTTTGTAGTTGCCAGTCATATTTTATATATATTTTTGGAACTCAGTTTCATGCTTCACTGACCTGCACACACACACACACACACGCGCAGGCACACTTTGGCCACAACTCGACTTTTATGGCGTTCTACTTGGCTTTTAAACACGTCATAAGGCTTTGCCAGCACACCAATTGCTTGGCCTTAACATTTATAGCCTACTTTTGAGGGCGCTCAGCAAATGCGAATAGTTTGCTTTTCCTGTTGCTGTGTGGCATGTGGCATTCGATAAGGCGTATGCGACGTTCTGCTGGGCATAGTGCAAAGAGACGGCAAACGCATGAGAAAAAAATTGAATTATTTTAAAAATATTATAAATAATTTAAAAATAAATTAAATTAAAAACTTGGAAACTTTGCTAGGCTGCTAAAAGTTTATTAACTGTATATATATAAATATATATATTTATGAAACATAGCTTAAACTATTTTTTATGCCAAGTTGGCTTAGCACTGTCTACACTTATCCAACATAAACAGAGAATTGTTTGAATCTGAAGCATCCTAGCTCCTTGCCGTGGTGCAGCGATATTGAGCGAGATCTGAAGCTGACAAAAAGAGAAACCAAAACCAGAAAATCATTCAAAATCAACCTAGTCTAAGGGAGTCTAAATATTGCAGCACAAAGGTCTGCCAGCCCACGCTGAATCTAGGACAGTACTCAGACGACGTCACCCTCAAGCCCAACCTGAGCAGGTCTTGCCTTAGCATCTATCCTGTTTGTCTTTAACTGTGATAGTTGCACTCAATAATTCTTTCTGCCCTCTGATATGTATTATGTGTCCTAAGAAAGTATATTAATTAATTGCTATTAAAATTAGGTTGTATTTCATGCAGGACACTAAACTGTATTTCATCAATTAAAAAAAAAGTTAAAAGAACAAAATAAATTACATATTGTAAAGCTAGCCTATTAAAATCTTTAATTTAAATATTTATAATATATTTACAAATATTTATAAATATTTATAATATATTTATAAATATTTATAAATATTTATAATATATTTATAAATATTTATAATTACTAATATTCAATTTTGTTAAGCCAACCAATAGCGACAATTGGTTTTATAAATTTAAATATGTCGGAGATGTATATAGTGTAAAAGTATTTATTTATTCAGAACAATTTTATATATATATTTTTTGTTAAACAATAATAATATATTATTTATATAATAATAATATAATGAAAAAGATGTATTTATTTAGAAGAATCTTTCTTTATTTTTGAACTTTAACAGAATATTAATCTTGTAAAATAATATTAATATATTTTTATATAATAAATATATAATAAAAAAGATTTATTTATTCAATGCAATCTTTTTTTAATATTAAGTGAAGATGAAAATGTTTCTATTTTACAATTTTAATAAATTAGTTGTATTTAAGTTGCCAGAATATCTGTTCCAACAGGCAAGAGAGTTCAGAGGCAAATGTAGATAATTTTTGAAATTCCACTAAAAAGTATGATAAAACAAAAATATAAAATATACCCAAAAGTTGCAAAATATTTTAGTTTAATATATTTAATAACTCATACGAAAATTCTATCAAGCAGTACATAAATTCATTGTAAATTTCATAAAACTTTTTTAATTGTTAAAAAAATTGAAACAAGCAAAAGTTTTCTGCAAATTATGCAAAGTTTTGACCATTTTCAGCAGCATTTCCTCGGCTGAGCAGAGCATTCACTTGTCGCAGAGCCGTTTGAATGTTAAGCACTTAGTTGTTGGCCTGCTGCTGTATTTGGTATTTGTGCTTGGCCAAAATGTGTGTCTGAGCTGTTTGTGGCTTTTGATTTTCATTGGATACCATAAATAATTTGCAGCACAGAAAATTTGGAGCTTGTAGAAATTTTTAGTGCATACTTTGAGGCGCTTAGTGAGCAATCAAACAATTTTATGGCCCATATACGGCCGAGCGGGCAAAAGCAGTTGCTGCCAAAAATAAATATGCAAAATTTGTTAGCAGGCAAACGTCAAGGCAAGGGCCACGCCCCAATTAGGGATTGACCAAGTCAATGACAAAACTTTTTGGCAAGCAATAAAAATCAACATTATTATGTTAATTGGTTGGGCATGGCAATGGATGCAGGGGGAGGAGGAGGAGGAAGAGCAGCAGCTACAGTAGCTGTGGGAGCTAAGGTTAAGGTGGCGCCCTCTGGCGTTCGAGGTGCGCGCAGCTGCTTCACAGATTTTAATCACTAAATTAGTTTACCAAAAACAAGAGAAATGCGAGCGGGCAAAGCGCCTAAAAGCATATGGCCTTTATTTGTCTAACGGTTTCGCTTTCCTCCCAACAAAAGGTAAAAAAAAGAAGCGAAAAATGAAACAAAAAGGTGCACAAAGCTTTTGTTAACTGCGCAAAGTTTGCGCCCCTCCAAGCGCTGAGCGCCAAGCGCTCGCCTTCAAAAAATATTAAGTAAACATTATTTATTTTAAAAGAAGAAAAGCCGTTGCATAGCTTCCGGCGTGCTACAGCGTAACAAATGGGAAGCGAGAGAGAGAGAGAGAGAGGTCGTTGAGGCGGCCAGGTAGTTAGGGAGTCTGGGCCGAAACGTCAAAGTAATTAAACAAAAGTAATTAAGATTAGCGCGCTTGGAGTAGCTGCAAGTCATCAAGAAGGCAACTGGTCCGCGGACTCGTCCATTATCATCATTATCATTTTCATTTTCATAGTGGCGAGCGAGAGACAGAGAGAGAAAAGGTAACGGCAACTGGAAGGGTAACGGCGAGGCAACAGCAACAATATGAGTAAAAGTGCTGCCAAGTTTGACGTCATTATAGCTGGCATATACCTGCAAGTCAAATACACTTAGCCCCTCGTTACGGTCGCTGCTGCGCGAATACCCTGTAATTATGGGCAAATGTGTAAAAAGTGTGCTTAGCTGTCTCTGAAGCAATGGCTATATAATAACAACTATGTCACTAAATATTTCACAAATTATTTATAAAAAAACATTAGCAATATGATGGCAAGATTTGATAGATTTAATCCTCAAATCGATAAATATCGATTGCATTTCTGTTAGATTTATTATCATATTATATATATATTATCATATTATATATAGTTTAGTAGCCTTTAGATAGTCAACGACACACTAACCTACTCTCCAAGACACACAATATATTATAGTGTATTTACAGGGTATCACTTAGCACAGCACATTTCTATATCTCACATTTAACTTGTCCAAATTGTTGCTGTTGTGTTTGCAGCTCCTTTGGGCTATTTTCTGAATTATTATTGTTCGACAGAAAAGTTTTTCGCGTCGAAACTTTAGAGGTAAGCAGCGTATGCCTCGGGTTTCCTTTCTCTCTATTTTATATTCTACTTTTTTGTTATGTTATTCACTGGTTTCTCTTTAGGTATTTGTCAAAATAAACTTTAATGCCGCTCGCGCTGATAAACAGGAATACAAAATGTATTTGCTGACTCGGCCAATCAGCAAAAGATCATAACCTCGCATCGGGCAAGCTTTCAGCTCGCACAAGCATTGGCAACGCTTCATTAACCCACACACACACAGGCAATCACACTCACACCCAGACTCATTTGAGCCGGTTACAAGCCTTGGCTTATGCTCGACTATCAAGTGGCAGCAAAAGAAATCCCGAGATTCGAGTGAAGCATTAACACTAAGCCAAAATCCCCATATGGAAACTTGTCGGCAAGTTTTCCACACACACACACACATATATATATATGTACGGAGAGTGTGTAGGTCCAGGTTGCCTTAAATTATATTTGGCAGTGGCAAAGGTTGAGTTTAAGCCTCCAAATGAGATTTATTAGCATTCAAAGCGGCATTTTAGCCGCTTGCGTTCGATGGGTCCGAATTGGGCCATTTCCTCATTTTTCACCCGGCCAAACTTTTGTTTTGATTAAATGAAGCTTAACGAGCGACAGGCAGCCAGGCAGGCAGGTAGGCAGCTAACGGGGCTAACTGCCAACTTAACTAATGAGCTGATTTACTGCCCAGCAACAACACGTCGCTGCCAAGACACTGCATTGGCCATGGCCTACGGCCAGCCAACGGGGTCCTATGACAAATGCGTCGTGGCATTATTTATGGCGACCGCAGGACGAGATGCCCTACGTGTGGTCATTAGGGCCGGCAGGCGTGTGTCGCCCAACTTCAAATTTATATTTTATTGCCTACTTTTGAGCGTCAAGAATTGCGCCATCAAATTAACAATATGCGCTACAAAATGTAATCCAAGTAGAGCTGTGAGCTTTGTATGAATGCTTGCTTAATAGATCAAGTGCTCAAAGACTATGAATTACGAATTTGTATTCAAAATCATGTCAAAAAATGGTATTTATGGAGTATTTACCAAACATTTGTCCAATATTTCTTAGCGGTAGTAAAGTTGGAAGCAGAGATCTGAAGAGTTATGTATCTAAAATAATATATATATATATATAAATATATATATTACTGTTATACTGAGAGAAATACATATCTTAGCATCTCTGCTCTTCGAAATATAATATAATAGATATATGTTATATACACTATTGAGACCTACACAATTACAAACATCCATCGAAGCAATCTTAGTCTCAATAACTCAAATGCAGTTGACTAGTTAAAGAGTTTTCTTGTTTGTAATTGAGACACCACAAGATACAAATGATAATAGCATTAATATAAGAAATATATGAATAAAACATTAAAAAATTAATATCAAAAATAAAATTAATGTAAAAATTAATATACATATAAAAAAAAAA